TTTCTATATATATAATAATATAATAATAATAATAAATAATTCTAATTAAAAAAAATAATAATAATTATAAATAAATCTAATTAAAATAATAATTAACCATAAATAATTATAATAATTATAATAACAATTATAAATTATAATAATAATTAAATATTATAATAATAATAAGTTGAGTAAATTGTAATTAATTATAAATTGTAAAAATAATATTAATAATTATAAATTATAAATGCTAATAATAATAATTATTATAAGAAATAATAATAATTTTTAATAATAATTATAATTAAAATTAATTATAATAATAATTACAAATTAGAATTAATTATAATTTATAATAATAATTTGTAATAATAATTATAATTAAAATTATTTATAAATTAGAATTAATTATAATTAAAATAATAATTTGTAGTAATAATTATAAATTATAATAATAAAATTTATAAATTAAAATAAAAATGAATTATAATCTATTTTAATAGTTATTACAATAGTTATTAGATATGGAAAATTTAATAATTATATTTCTGATTCAGGGTGTCAGCAGACCTGGACAATCTTATGCCAGGGACGACGGAGAGGTTAATAAATATTATGAAGGTTCTGGCCCCCCGACACACTAGAAGTCGGGATGTAGATGCGTCCGTTCGTCGGGAGAGAGACGGACAGACGATGCTCCTCAACTACAATATAATTTTGTAATTTAGAGGGATTATACAATTAATTAGTTACGAGAAAGTATTTGAATTATTTTTATTATTGTTATAATCAATTAGTAGTGATATTATATAATAAATTAGTTTAAAATTGTCATTGTACTTTATTAATGTAAAATGTAACGTTTCTAAATGAGTTTTTTTTTTATTATTGTAAAACATTAAGTTGAATGATCTGTAACACGAATTAAAAATAAAAAAAAATTATCATTGATGCGATTTTCGATTGCAGAGACAGGCTCGTTCGTGTTACAGAGCAATCGAAAATCGCATCAATGGTATTTTTTTTTCATTTTTTAATTGAATGATATTTTTTATTTGCTAAACTTCAGTTGAATGAGTTTTTTTATTCTAACGTCCAATTTATAAAAAATTATTTTGAATATATAACATAATAATTTTCAATAATATTATTATAAAAAAAAATAAAAAAACATGGCATCCGGCCGGTCGGACCGGTCACGACCGGCCGTCGGGGCCGGATGCCATTTGAGCCGTCCGGTTTTGGCGGCCGGACAATATTATTTTTTTTTCTTTTACTTTTTGAAAAAAAATGTCAGGGGCAAAAATATCCGAAGGGCGATAAATAGTAATATGAGAAAAGGTGAATAGTAATTCACTTTATTTTCTTGCAAATTTGCAACAAGAGGTATGTTTCTCTGTTTTCCCCAGGAATTTCTCGTGTCGGCTGCTCTTCGCCTGCGTTACTGACTCTTCTCTCCCTATCGTCGCCGTGTGGTGGCATCTTATCCCTAATTTGATTAGGGTTTTAGTCTCTGAATTGGGAGTTTCGAATCCCAATAATTTCGCTTAGGGCTCCGTTTTTCTCATGACAGGTCCCTTCAATTTCTGAAATTTTTTAGTTCTTGACAATTTTTTATTTTTGTTTTTTGCATTAATTATCACTTCGGTGAATCTCAGAAATTTTATGACGCCCATATGGGCACCAAATGGTGCCATAATCTCACGATCCAACGCCTAATATCCATTTTATCAATTCCACAATGAATATTAGGCGTTAGATCGTGAAGATTATGGTACCATATGGTGCCCATATGGGCGCCATAGAATTTCTGGGTGAATCTGGGTTTATCTTTCTGATTATCAGTTTTGACTATTGATTCGTGAATCTGTGTTTATCTGTCTGATTATCAGTTTTGATTATTGATTCATCTATTGAGCGCTCTTATAGTGCCTTGATGCACTATCACGAGCTTCCAGTTTTGCCTTGATTTGGTTCGTTTGTTGATTTCTTTTTTTTCTACTCAGGGAGTTGCTGTAACATTTCAGTGCTTTCAGTTTGTTAAGAAGGACAGACACTCAGATGGAGGACGGGGGTAAAATCTTCTATATTTTTATCCTAACTAGATAGCAATCGAAAGGATTAAATCTTTACAAATGGAGCTGGTCCGTCAGGCTGTGGACTCCTGGTGGGAGCTGCAGAACCCGGGCCATTTCTTCGAGGACAAATCTTGCTAATACCTGAATCTGATTTTCCGAATGTCATTTTACTCATAAATTCACTTCAATTTACCGTTCACCCCCCAAATGCTTACCGTTCGCAAACCGCCAACCACTACCGCCATAGCCAACTTCCTATCGTTCGCAAAAACCCTAACCACCACCAGAAAAAATCTCACTCCGGCCACTAACAGCAGCCGAACAGTACCCAACGATGACTACTTTGCCACAATCCACCACATATCCAACATCGTCAGGCGGGACATCTACATGGAGCGAACCCTCAACAAGATGCGCATCTCAACCATAGTAAACTCCGAGCTCGTCTATCGAGTCCTCCGAAGCTGCTCCGGCTGCGGGATCGAGTGTTTTCGTTTCTTCAACTGGGCTCGGACGAACCACCCGAGCTACGACCCGACCACGCTTGAATTCGAGGAGCTCCTCCGAATCCTGGCCCGAACCCGACACTGGGAGACAATGTGGAAAGTGGCACACACTATGAAAACCCAGAATTTCCCTATATCTCCATCCGTAGTCTCGTTCGTTATCGAACAATATGGCAAATACGGTCTTATAACTCAGGCCGTCGAATTATTCAACGGGCTGAAAAACTTCGACTGCCCTCAGACGATCGAGGTTTACAATTCCTTGCTTTTTGCTCTTTGCGAGGTGAAGAATTTCCAAGGCGCGTATGCTTTGGTGCGTAGGATGATTCGAAAAGGGTGTGTTCCGGATAAGAGGACTTATTCCGTACTTGTGAATGCATGGTGCTTGGCTGGGAAAATGAGGGAAGCTCAAGAGTTTTTGGAGGAGATGAGCAAAAAAGGGTATAATCCACCTGTACGTGGCCGTGACTTGCTGATCGACGGCTTGCTGAGTGCAGGCTATCTCGAGTCCGCTAAAGGGCTTGTGAGGAAAATGAGTAAAGAAGGGTTTTTGCCGGATGTGAGCACGTTCAATTGCTTGGTGAAAGCCCTGTTCGAATCTGGGGAGATTGAGTTCTGCATCGATCTTTTCCGTGATGTATGTGGATTGGGGTTTTGTCCGGACATAGAAACGTATAAGACTATGATAACCATGTGTTCGAAAATCGGTAGAGTTGATGAGGCTTTTAGGATACTCCATAAATCAGTTGAGGATGGTCACAGGCCTTTTCCGAGCTTGTATGCTCCGGTTTTGAAAGCTCTTTGCAGAAGGGGGCAATTTGATGACGCTTTTAGTTTTTTCTCAGATATGAAAGTGAAGGGGCATCCTCCCAACAGGCCTGTTTACACTATGCTGATAAGGATGTGTGGGCGTGGAGGGAGATTTGTGGAGGCCGCTAATTATTTGGTGGAGATGACTGAGTTTGGTTTGGTGCCTATGTCCCAAAGCTTTGATATGGTTACAGATGGGTTGAAACACTGTGGGAAGCATGATTTGGCTAAAAGGGTAGAGCAGTTGGAGATATCTGCTCGGGGGATTTGATTTGGCTATGTTTGACGTTGGAGATATCTGCTCGTGTGTTAGAATATTCTTGACAGGTTCGGATTTCTATTGTTGATTTTGGTTAATCGAGGCCCTCTTTTGTGATTTAATTTATCCAAATTTTTCGTTTTTGAAAGTGCAGGCTTTGCTGATTTTTGTACAGACTTGTTGAGGAAGATTAGATGATTATAAATCTACTACTGAATTATTTGCTGAGAAAGGTGATGGATGATAAGATGCCTGGCAAAATTTCATTCCAAAAGCTGAAAGCGAATTTGCAGAATATGCAGATCTTATTTCACTTAAACTTCGCCCATATGAGTTTTGTGGTGTTCTCTTTACTGTGGGTTTTGTTTGATGATTTTGATTCAAATGTCACCTGGACATTTACTCTATTAAACAAAATCTATCACTTTATTGGATTACTAGGCTGTGGTGAGATTGACGGTGGCGTATTTGGAAGGCTCGGTTGTCAAAGAAGTTGCATCTTCCTTTACTGCATTCGCAAAGGAAAAGATAAAAGCTGAAAAAGAAGCTAATGCTGGCAAAAATGACTACAGGTTGGTTAATTTTTTAATTTGTTTAATATTTCATGTTGAGTTGGGTTAAAATTACCGGAAATTTTTCATGATGAGTTTGTTTGTAGGCAGGAAGAAAAGGCAGATACATATGATGACTATAAATTCATGTGAGGGGCGCATTTTAATATTGGCATGTGTTAAATACCATTCTAAAATATTCGTATTATGAGAATTTTGCGGTATGTCTTATGTATAACTTAGTTTGGTTGCTGGAATTTAATCTGACTTCATTTTCCTAATGGAACAAAAACATTTTATAATTGTTCAGATTTTGAACAACTTGATAGTTGGAGCCTCTGATTTTCCAATTAGAGGCTGCCTCATTTTTGTAGTTGTAGGTTTCCTTCTGTTTTTGTGAATAAAGGTTAATGATAGCCAGAGTTTTACAACAGTGTTTGGC